AGGAGAGCTGCCAGTGTAATTTCTTGCTGCACCAATAGAAAATTTTTTTTTTTTTTTTTGTGTGTGTTGATGTTTTTTGGCCTAAGACAGACAGGCTGGTAAAGATACTTTACCAGAAGTGGAAGAAATTCCTTCTGGCTCACCCGCTTCAGCCAGGCTGCCATGCCCTCCCCATGCCCCATCAGACTCCAGACTCCACAAGAGTCTCTCTCCTATTTCTGTCCCACAGTTCACAGAATAGCGAAGCGAACGTTGCCACGGGCTAGGGTGGTGAAGGAGAACATGCAAAGTCCACTCATTGCTACTCTTCAGTCCAGCTACAGCACTGCACCAAGCCCAGAAAACGCAAGGAATACTTCCTTTATATAAAAAAGTTCTGTCAGTAAGTCACAGGAACTTCTGAATGTGGCGGGGTGGATCCTTGTCAGCAGACAGTGGTAGGAATTAGCATTTTAGCAATTTTTCCCCCCAAGAAATTGGCAACTGTGTGACCAGACTACTGCTGCCTTTGTTCTGCAGGGCAGACTCTGGACTTTACATCCCCTTAAGAGAGCGCAGGCTGTTAGGAGTCAACGTTTAGAAGCTGAAACTAAGATCATAGCAATTAATTGTTAGCACAAACGAACACTGACTTTATTACTGACGGACACGGCAATACCCACCTTCCTGCTGTACCGCATGTAGGGCATCAGGGGCTTGTCTGGGGGTTTGGGGGGCTTGGGAATGGTAATACCAGAGGAAGCCTATAAAAGAACGGGATAAATCCATTCGTTAACAGGATTGCTGGACAGTTCCCACACGCTCTAGTGTCGGAAAACACTCGCTCTTGTGCATTCACACACCCCCACCACGAGAAGCAAACAACACCACCAAAAAAAAAAAAATGACCCAGTCTGTGAACAGGCACTAACTAGAGAGCTGGTCCTCACAGCAGTGATTTCCAAGGTGAGTTTGCCCTTTTCTCTGTGAGTTTACAGAGCAGTAACTAGATAAAGCCTCTGAAGGGCTCCGTGTTCTTAAAACTGAACTACACAGCTTAGGAGCTGCCATGGAGACACCAACCCCAGCAGGCTGGCTTCTCTCACTTCTGATGAGCAATTTATTTTACCTCTTTCGATAAATTTAATGTGGCTACTGCACAGGTGAAAAAAGATATGGAGAAAGTTTAAAAGCATTAAGTTAGAGATGTACCAAATAATTTTAGCCGTTGCCTGCAAAATTCGTCAGTGGTAATTTGGAGCCAATTAACAGACTCATATGATAAAAAGAAAACAACCCTATGCAGCCAAACTGTAAATGTGTGCTCCACTTGTAGCCAAGCTGTAATTAATTGTCCCAATTAGCCTGTAACATGCTCCTGTGCTCTATCTTCCCTTGGCTTTGATGCTGTCAGGCACTGCTGGCACCACTCAAAAGGACACTGAGCACCAACTGCTGCTGGAAAGCTGCTGCCTCCCCTCGTGTCCCCTCAACCCACAGAACACCCCACAGGGTTTCCTCCTAGAACAGTGCAGTGCCATCACAGCCCCTGCCAACTGCAGGGTCTGAAACCCTCCGCTCTTCCAGGAGTTCTGTTACATTAAGTGGGTGCATTTAAATAAAAATACAAAAGGTTCAAGACCTTTCAGGAGTGTGGCCCATGGATCAATACTTGTGTGCAGCCCCGGGAGGCCCGTGTTCAACATTCAGGTTTCAAATTTTAACTCCCCGACAGTTTTTTGTTTTGCTGAATTTATGGAGCTCTATGAACAATGCATACAGAACTGTGTATAAATAATGTGCATGAGGTATATGCATCACCAAAATGTATACATAGATACACATACAGATGGGTTGGAAAAACATTAACGGAAACTGTTCAATGCTTTTAAATTAAGAGGGGTTTAAAGACACCATCCATATACTGGGATATGCATGGCAGAGCAGGCTGTGTATGCTTGTGACATACAGAAACAATGGAAGTTCTCAGACAAAACCTGACTTATTCTTGTGTAAGGAAATAGTGTCCGTTCAGTCAATTCCAGCTTGTAGGGGAAGGTCCTTTCTGTAAATGCTTTAACAAATAGAATGAACTTCATATGTGAAGTTTGAAAGAAGGTTTATATGAGAGGCATAAAAGGAGTACACTTCATTGAAAGCACCGTGCATTTGGTCCTTGAGAAATCTCCGTATCACTTTCCAAACTGATCAGATGTTTTAAGGTACAAATCTTACATGAAAAAAAACCTTAAAGTTTTGAGATATTAAAAAAAAAAAAAAAAATCAGGGATTTGCTCTATTTCTGTTGTGTTATGAAAATGTTACATTTCCCCAGTCTATTTTTGTTTCCTAACTCCATCCAACTCTCAGCACTTCATCCGTGTTTGAAATGCAGCTGTCACCTCCCTCATCACTTGCCTCCTTCTCACTTTGTTTACTCCATGAAAAATGAATGTAACATCCATTTCCCACACACTGACACATATAAGAGCTGAAAGGATTCTATTTTATTATCACCACACTTTTGTTGAAAAAATAATGACTGAACTTGGGACTGTGCAGTTATTACCAGTCTAAGCCTGGAAAGAATAATAAAGGCTTGCACCCCTCATATGGCTCAACAGGATGATGCAACAACTATCAACGATCTCCAGTTTGCAAAACGCTCTTCCTTATTTTTGTGCCAACGAACCTCAGCAGAATGAGCAGTTCCCTCCCTCCAACAATTCGTACCCAGCTGCAGAACTCTTCCCTACGCATGCAGTGGTCACTGAAGACCACAAAGTCTGTCTTTTTTGGAGTTCTGCACCACAAACCATCACCAGTTCTCCCTGCTGAGTATAGAAGCTCATTTTCCTGCAAAAGGTTTCAGAGTGAAGGGGAAAGGGGGGAGGGTGGGGAATAAGAATCAGAAGTAAGTTGTTTTTTTGGTTTTTTTTTTAATAAAGAAGTGGCAGCAGCCAAGACTCCGAAGAACCTAACCCTAAAGCCATTTCTGGTCAATCCCTGGTGTTTGCTGGAGGATGTAATAGTTGATTCTCCTACCGTGACCCGGCTGTTGGTGCCCGGGTTCCCTCCCAGCCTGTAGTTGTTGTAGGCCAGATGGCTGTATGGATTGTATCCCACAAACCCTGGGGTGCTGGGCATTTGCTGATGGAAACAAATGAGACAAAAACACGAATGAGAAATGAGCTCAAACGAGGAAAACACAGAAATGAAAATGAACTGCAATATGGCATGCAAAAGCAACCAGAATTCAAACAAGCAATGAGGTGTAGCAGTCGGTGTCTTCCCAACACACACAACTTACTCCAGTATAAACCTAGTAAGGAAACAGGACTTTTAAGCAAATGTGTCACTGCAAATTTCTGTCTGAAGTCGGTGATTTTATTTCTATTAACTGCGTAACTTATTTAAACAAGCATTCTGTAAATCCAGCTCATTGCTAATAAAATTTTCCAACATAAGCCACCAAGGAATTCAGAAGACTCTCGTATCCGAAGGGTGAAGGTTACAGGATGACACAGCACCCAGTGATGGGGCAGAAATCCCCTGTATCCACATTTACACCAGTGAAAATCCCTGCCTGATTTTCTTCCCAGCATTCTGCCTTCCCAACAAACGTGGAGGGGGGAGGAAATCTCTCAAAGCACCATCTGTGCACCACTGCCAGTGGCTGAAGACAATTCCCAGAGACATCCCTCTGTTACAAGGCAGACTGAGGAACTCTAGTTCTGCAAAAAGATCTACAGGTTAGAAACTACAAACTAGTCTGAACAGACCACCCAATCCAAGACAATTCAGAAGTTAATCAATACATCTTCATTCATTCATGAAAGTGGATCAATTTGTTCTCACCTCAGTCATGTAGAGAAAAATCTGAGTTCTTTACCTTCCCTTCTCACTTATCTAAGGACACTCAAGTGTCACTGGGTTCCCTATATTCCCCTCCTCACTTAAATTTCTACCTTTTTCCGTTATCCCCCACTTCCCAATCAAATTTTGTTGGAAAAAAATGGATCAGCTATTTAACAGTGACCGTGATTAAATCCTGACTGTCGTGGTCCTATCACTCCATTAGGATTCATGAGAGCCTGGAGTGTTTTTAGACATTTAAGCACCATCCCCTCAGTGTCCCTCCCAGTAAACATTCCTACAGTCTTTCCCCGGGATTTGCTGGCCAGACCTGTTCTAGATCACAGTTATAAAAATCCTACAAATTGGTTCAGGACTCCAAGAACCAAAGTATGACACACACAGACACTGAACAGAAGTGCCCTAGGAGCTGACTATGATAACTCTGAAGGTTTCAGGTAAAGGCAGACTCGCTGCAGGATTTTATTTCTTAACATACAAGTGCAGAGGAAAATTATCCTTTAACAGTCAGCCTTCAGTAGAGATTATTGCCAAGCTTTTTAACTCAGTCACAGCAGCTGCCATGTGCTCATCTGTATGCCTGGGCTCATGACATACACACTCACTACTTCATAAGACACCATTTTACTGTAGTTTTTTTGTATTACCATAACAGGTTTTGAATATGTTGAACTACACCTCTTCAATAAAACCAGGTGACAATTGTAATCTCCGTCTGCTTAATTCTTTATTTCTGCAAGACAGGATTTAAATGTTACCAGGGAACTACCTTGCAACACATGGAGACTTTTTTATTTCAGCTACAGTACTGGGACTTTGTTCACTGTAGCACCTGGAACTGGCTGTGGAAGAACAAGCAAGGTTATTTGGCTGCTTTATGACTTGCATTAACAGAGCACAGACCATCACCTGAAGGACTGCATAAAATATAATATAAATAGAAGAAAAGCTGCTTGTTAGACAGGCAATGCACATCACTGGCTGCAGTTCTGACACGTGTTTCATGCACCCCCTCCTGAAGGGCTGTACCACAGCAAACATAAACAGTTTAACATCTGTATCCATGCTACATCCCAAAGGAATCCCCTGTGTGTGCACAGCTCCCCATGCAGGAATCCAGGGCTCAGGGTGGATCCATCGTGTTCCTCCTAACACTGGCACAGATCTATTTCGCTGGGTGCAAAATGAAAACTCTGAACAAACTATGCAAACCAAGTTTTATTTGTGTAAATTTATGAAAACATAACTTGTATCTATGCACTATACCATTTTCAAGCCTCTTTACTAGCAAAGTATAGCACAATAAATTTGAAGGATCACTTTCCATCTAATTCTCATCCTGCAGAGATCAGGGACACACTGTTGGGTAACAGGTTTCCAATCTTCTTAAGTTAAAAAAAAAAAAAAATCATTATAGCATCTTTGCTCATTCTTCTGTACAGAGGATTTATCATAAAATCCAAACTATTCAGAAATGTGACCAAAGAGGAGCATTTGCTTTCAAAGAGTTCCCTGCCCACAGCACACTGGTACTGCAGCACCTCTGTACATCCAGGAATGTCACTGGACAGGACTCAAAGCTCCCATTCATGTTTTCCTCAGTGTGATTCCACACCACTTTACTAGAAAGTAAAATACTTCCCATGTCCTAGACTCCAAAACACCAGCGACTTCAAGGAGTGCAAGACTGGCATCAGGAATGTTTTCATTGCTCTGACCCAATATAACAGCATTTTGCATATTCCTGCATTCCACTGAAATGCAGCTCAGGACAACAGAAACATTAAAAAAAAAAATGCACTGTCTGCCCATGATTTGGGCACAGGCTCAGCGGGAAGTTTTAGAATTAAATATGTCAGTTGGCTCTTAACTACTCCAGCACTGCTGCAACCCCCTGTGAATCATTTCAGACAAGTGACTGCTCACAGAAAATTCAGTGTCTGCAAGATCCAGCCTCAAAGGTGAAACAAATTTATTCAGCTCCTCTTTCACAAAGTGCTTAAAAAAGAATGAGATTAATTTAAGCAATTCATATCACATTAATTAGTGCTGTGTTTCTGATACAGGAAGGTGATGCAACTCCATAATTATTGCTCTGGGAAGTTACTAAAGGCTCTGTGTTAATGAGAAAAATCACTATACTTACGGTTGCAGGAGCTGGGGTGGGAGGTGGGGCATAGGATGGCCTTTCTGTTAAGATAGAAATGTAAGCACATTTTTTTTTTCTTGAAAATCTGAACGAATTCTCTATAAGGCATCTGCTGTGGCCAACATTTTTCAAGCAATTTACAAAAACAAGACAGAAACTCTACTCCGAAAGACTTTGCATTTTGCCACTGAAAAGTGAAAAACAACACAAGAGAAAGAAAAGAAAGAAAAAATGAAGCCCCCCCCCCTTTGCTCTAAATCCCAGCCTTTTATTCAGGCAGAAGACTGGAGAATCTGTGTGTGCATTTATATGCACACTAATTACAGGGAGGGAGAGCAAAAATGCAGCCAAACAGGATTTAGAAGCTGTGATATCTGGATTTCCTACGAAAACAATATGCCAGGAATCAGCCACAGCACGATTTAAGGCCAAGAGTTTGGTCAGGAATCTCTGCACTTCCTATATTTCCTTTTAATGCCAGGAACAATGAGATTATCTCACAAACAGGTTCTCCTGAACCAGATCTTTAATTCATCAAGTTAAAGGAAGGAAAATCTGAAAAAAAAACTTACTTGACATTTTGATAGTCAAATTTTCAGCCACCTGACATTATATTTGTACTTCTGCAAGACAAAAGAAGATCACGCCAGTGAGTGCTGTGCCTCTGCTCCCCCAGATCTTTGAAGCTTCAATTATTATCGTTACCACTGATTCCCAAGGAATTTGCCAATTTTGGAATAAGGACGAAAGGGCATTTATAAGCTTAGGTGTTACCTCTTTGAAAAACTAATGGACTTTCCAAGGAATCCGGCCTTAAACAGCTGTGCAAGAACACGCAGGCTTAGGTCATCTTCATACTAAAGGTTTTAAGCAAATATATTTTTTTTCCCATTAAGGAATAAAAAGCACACACCCCATTATTTTACACCGACTCCTTCAGAAATCTGGTATTAATGCATAATCGACCAAATCGTGTATCTGGGCACATAAATAACCACCAAGCCCGGCAGCCGCGGTCTCACAGGCAGCGTTTAACCTTCCAGCAGCGAGGTTTTACACCAGAATGTTAAAAAAAAACCGCTATAACGCGGTATTTTTTTGGCTTTCCTCGTCAAATAACGCCCCAGAGCCGCGGCCGGGCTGGCACACGGGGAGTTCGCGCCGAGCCCGAGCGGGCCCGAGGCGGCCGCGGGGGCCCCTCGGCGTCCCCGCCCGGCCCCGAAGGCTCTGCCGGGCCCCGCAGCCCCCGTTTTCCCCCCCGGGAGGGCCCGTCCCCCCCGTGGCCCCGCTCGGCCCGGCCGGGCCCCCCCGACTCACCCGCGGCCGCGCTCCCTTTGTTCCACGGCCCGGGGCGGCGGCGGCGCCTGCGCGCTGCGCTCCGCACTTTCGACACAGCCCCGCCGGGGGTGACCTCCCCCCCCGCCCACAACGGCGGGGCCGCCTCGGCTGCTCCGCTCCCACCGGAGCCTCCCGCGCGGGGCCGGCCCCCCCTGCGCCCTCCGGGGGGCGGGCGGCGGCGGGAGGACGCCGTGGCGAATCTGCGGGACGCCATCGGGGTGCCCCGCGTGGGGCGGCCCCGCCCGCCATCACCGGTACGGAGGCGGCGCCCCACCGGGCGCGGGGGTGTCACCGGGGGTCCCGAGGCGTCCCGGAGCCGCAGTGCCCAGCGCTGGGCTCGTCCCCGTTTCCCGGTGCGGGTGCCCTGAGCGATGGCTCCCGGTGGCGAATCTGCGGGGCGGGGGCTGCGGGCGCCTCGCGCCTCCTGCGCGAGGCGCCTCTTTCCCCTCGCGGGAGCGCGCGCGGCCCCCGAGGCGCTTTTTGCCGCCTTTTTTCCCCCCCTCACGACGAGCGCGCGCTCCCCCTGAGGCGCCCCGGGCTGCCCTGAGGCGGCGGGGAAACGCTGCGGGGCCTCGGGTCTGAGCCCGGATAAATCCCCGAAAAATCCCCGAAAAGGCAGCGGTGGAGGCGGGTGAACCCTCTGTGTGTGCTCAGTGCGGTGCCGAAACGGCGGCGGTTGAGCAGGGCAGGACGAGCCCTGAGGGCAGCGGGAATGTGTCGGTGTGTCCGTGACAGGGCGAGCGGGAGAAGGCCACAGGAAGGGGATGGAGCGAGGGATGGCTGGGACAGGCAGCGATGTGGACCCTGGGTTATAAATACACGATATATGGTGATTGTGAACTAAATCAGCCTGACCAACTCCAAACACTCTGCTGCTGAATCACACAGGGTCGTAAATACCCAGTGGTCTGGGAGCAGTGGAATTGTCCGCAGTTCCTTGCAGAAATCAGAAAAAGTACCACACACAGAGGTAAAAACTAGAAGTAACAAACCCGGTGAACCCTGTGGCTCTGAGGGGGTGAGGAGGATTCAGACCCCAGCGTTCAGCAGAGGAGCCTTTTACACTGGGAATTGTCCAAGTGACTGAATGAAATAGGACAACTTCGGCAGTGGAAATCGAAAGGCTGATGTCGAAAGTTTTACTTTGAAATTGAAGCTGTGACATTGAAGTTTAAAGTTTGTTATTGAAATGCTGTCACGTGGCCAGTGAGGTACATTTCCAGACATTCGTGAAGGAGGATTATGAATGAAGGTGGATTTCCAGGAAAGCCAAGGGGATGGTACCTGCCTAACCCCAAAGGACGGTAGAAGGTGAAAAGAATTAAAACTAATTCAACATGATACCATGTTGCTTCAAGTTGGGGCCATTTTCTCTGGATGCCCACAGTTGCATTAGGCCAGTTTGCTTTCATTCTTAAATAAACTTATTTCTATGGACAAATAGAGACAAGAGCTCTGCCCTCCTCTGCTCAGACCATGCTGTCTGTGCCCACAATGGACATTTGTTGACATGCAGCAGAATAACCTGTGACTTCAAAGTCAGAATTGAAAAGATTCCTCAGCCAGCCACATACCCTCAGCAAGCCACTCTAGTCCACCAGCTTCACTGAGGCAGACTGTTTGTAAAGAAAAGGTGAGAAAATACTCGTTAAGAGGTGAAAAATAACCTGGTTTTCCCCCTGCTTTCATGAATTCATCTCTAGTTTATTAATAATAGTTTTGTTGATAGTGTAAACTGCATTTAATGTTGTTATAAATTTCCACAGCTTACTGAAATATTTACTATGGTGTTCATTTACTGACACTCACATTCCGTGCCAATAGTTCTGAATAATTATATATTTTCAAAGCCACTGATGTGTTCCTCAGTTTGTTTTATTCCTTTTTTACCTTTTTTTTTTTTTTGAGGCTCTTTGCCTCAATTCCATGTTGTGATAGTAAAGGGTTTGCCTGTGTACACTTTTTAATATCCTGTACAGTATGTGAGTAGTTTTACTGATTTAATGGAACTGTTTATACTGCACCGTGCTCACTGGGGGGGATGTAAAAACTTATCCTTACCCAACAGTTTTAACTACCAGCAGTTTCATAACCTCTGGAACGAGGACAGACTTTCACTGGGAAGTAGGTTGAGACAATGAAACCTGTTTTTAAAATCAGCTCTTTGCAGGTGCTCATTGGCAGAGGCTCAGCTGGTCTGTATTTAATTAGCAGCAGAGAAATGATGAATTCTGTGCCGTAGTATCAAACTTCAGTTTTATATTTTTAAACTCAGCTTTAAAATGGCCTGAAATGAGGCTGAGACGTTATTGTATGACAGTTTTGATGCCCACGTGGAGTTCACGCTGCCACTCATGGAGGTTCAAGTAGTTATGAACAAAAGTGAGTTGTTTTCATATGAAGAGATGGGATTTGTAAATAATGCAACAGTAGATACGTACTGAAAGGGGAGAAAACACAGAAAACACCCACATGTTATGGTAAAGATTCTGAGGGAATTTGTGTGTTTCTAATTGCAGAGGAGATCTTAGAAACACTTGATTACAGTGCTACAGATTTTCCTGTCTACAGCTTTTCTTCTGCATTTCTCTTTCACTCCTTTCCTTTTAATATGCACACATTGGCACACACAAAATATGCACGGGCAAACTCCATTTTAATACTTTTTTATTGGAGTACTATAATTTACTTTGGTAAGTCGGTATCCCTGTTTAAAGTGCCTTAAAGCAATTAAAACTTAGTTTAAATTCAAGTATTGTAAAATGTACAGAGTCTAAGCACAAAAAAAAAAAAGCTGCATAGTGGAAATACTGGAGCAGGTTGATACATTCAGGATGCCAAGTACTCAAGAGGTAACACCACCAGCTCGGGATTCGGGTTAAGGATAATTAGCCAGCTTGATACAGTACAGACAGGACAGGGCAATATCGATGCATCGTTACCATGAGCAAATGATAGAAGCATAAATTAACTCTGGAGGAATCTGTAGTCCCAGTTTTGTACTCATGCCATGGGTAATAAGGCAGATACTGACAGTGAACTCAATCCTCCACGTGCTGCTGTGACCCAGCAAATCCGGGTTTGCAGACTCTGAGCCCCCGCAATCCTGGTTTTCCAGTGGGGGCCGAGATCAGCTCCCGGTCAGAACCGTCACAAACAATCATTCCTGTCTCGTCACAAACAATCATTCCTGTCTCGGTACAGTCTGGTTTGGGTCTGTGATTGTCCCGCAGCGTTACAAAGGAGGATGGCTGGTCCTCTGTGGTCGCCTGCTGGGCTCTGTGTTTGCCCACGGCTACTCCCAGCAGGACTGGGGGGTTCCTAAGGGGTCTGGTTGAATTGGACTTGGAATTTGTAGCCCTTTTTTTTTTGCCCAGTTAATTCGAAGGAATAACAGTTGTACCCTGGTGTAACGGTAGCTTGTCACGTGTCCTAGGTCGGGAGAGTCCCTTAATGTTTGTCAGAAGAGGAATTTGTTGAAGATATTTTAATGCACGCTGTTACAATAAACAAAATTAACGGAATGCCGGCATTAAAATGGTTGGTTGGCTCCTCACATTTGAACAATTAGAGGGTAATTTCACTTGGCCTGGCTGAGAGAGTTGTAGTACAGCTGTGTGCAGACACATAAGAGAATGATTGATTTTTCAGGGGAGATCACTGCTTCAAAACCAGGGGAGTGATACAGCTAAAATGTTGCTGGATTGTAACAACGCTTTTAAAAATGGGTTTATAAGGATGCAAGGGAAAGATATTTTTGCTCAGTTGTTGCCTAAAAAAATGAATTTAAAAATACCAGCCACTTTTAAAAGAAAATTGTTAATAGTTCATGTATTTTAAGAGCATCTTTGTATGTAAGTTTTGCTGTTAGAAAGTATTATTTTAAAATATATTTCTAGAATTATGACAGATGTGATATAAATTATTGCAAGGATTCCCCAGTTGTTATATATATGCCCCAGTCGTTATATATATGCAATATTGAATATGTAAGAGAGTGAAATATGCATTTCTCATTTCCAGAAAGAGAAGACAAGTTCTCCTTTACAAAGGCAGATATGTCAAACTATAAAGTTAATTTTTGTCCTATTTGGTGAAATTCTACAAAACAACAACAATGAGAAAATGAAAGGGCTGCACCCAGAGTATAAAACCAGTAGAAGTCGGGTTTCCTGGAATCTGAACTCCCTTGCTCTTCTCCCTAATTTTTGGAGGACTCGTATGGTTTTATGGTGTTAATCCAAGTGCCTGGTAGGGTGTGGTTGTAGCAGACAGCAGCTGGGGGAGTCCATCCACAGTTTTATTTCCAGAGCCTGTTGGAGGTGCTCTCTGGGGGAAGGGGCTGAGGTTAAGGTTTGATGGAGGGGATGCTGCAGGATCTCCTCATCACCAGCCTGACTTCAATGTCGGGGAGAGTTTTCTTTTTCGTGTGCAGACACCCCTCGTCCGTGGCTGCCAGGTGGAGGTCGAAACGCAGGGAGACCGACTTTTTCCTTAGGCGAGGGTTGTCCTTAAAGAAAGAACCTTCCCATTCCTTAATGACTTCATCCACTTTTTCTGTCCTGAAACAACAAAGCAGGTGTATTTATGATTTTTCAGGCAATACGAGTTACCTGTTTTCAGGACTGCTTTTAAAACAGGGAGAAATTGCATAATAAAGTGTCGAATTATTTAAGACAGTGCTGAGACAATTGAAGCTTTCTTTTTTTTCACAAGTTCATTCCTCAGAACAGCTAAATAAAGGGTGAGGGTTCATTATATTCTTGTTTTTGTACTTTTAGGTAGACATGGCTACAAAACCACTGCTCCAAACACATCGGGCAGTTTGTTTCCCAGGAGAAAGCTTGGAATCCAGGCTCAAAAACTTTGCAAGAAGTCTCAGTACTGTAGTGGGCAGGCCAGAGTTCCTGCATCTGAAAGCCTTCAGCATAGGGAGGAGAAAGTCTAGTTCAGATCCAAACCTCAGAATGTAGAGCTACGTTACATTAAAGAGGAAAAAAAAGGGCAGGAGAAAAATAGGGGGGAAAGCCAGCTGATTGAGGAATATTTAGGGGCCCAAATCC